AGCAGCCACATTCTTTACCAAAATATCACCAGAACCATCTCTAGGGCACATACTAAAATTCTTCTGCTCTGACCCCTCTTGAGTAGGGCTCTTTAAATATCCCTCAGCAGCACTGTCTTCCATGCCCCCTTCCTATGAGGATGGCCCATCAAGCCCCACTGAGAGTACTCAACTGCTTTTTCAACCCACAGTCTCAATGTGTTCTATATTTCTCCAAACGAACACATAGTCAGGCCTTTCACTGCAAAGCTCCAGTCCTTGGTATCAACTTGTCTTAGTTAGGGTTTCTGTTGCTGTGAAAGGATGCCATGACCATGCAGACCAAGCATTCAAATCTATGAGCCATTCAAAACCATTCCTATTCAAATCACCACTGCTGTTGCCAAGGCTACTGGTTGCTGTCCACAAACTGATAAGGCTCTATTTCTGAAGACAATTACACATCTCACTGAACACAGAAAAGTCAAGTGAGTGCCTAAATAGAGCCTTCACCCCTACTGACTAGTGTTCATGGTACTGGAAGGTACTCTGCACACTAACACAGGAGAATAGTGAACACCAACCCAGCTCCAAACCATCCAGTAATCAGTGATAACCTGCCTGAATGAAATGCTGGTACAGTATGGCACCAGCATTGCAGGGTTTAAGGCCAGTTCTACAAGATTGAGCCCATGATTAACACTCTTCAGGTGGCTAAGAAGCTGAGAAAAGATAGGCCATGCACCAAGAAGAAAATCAAATACTGTTGTCCTGCTGAGGGAACGTCACAAAAAAAAAAAAACTCCTAACTACATTCTGCTATAGCCATAGAACAGAGTCTCTCTCAGTCACCATCTGAGAAGTTTCCTCCTGCAGTAGATGGGAACTAATATAGAAACCCACAACTGGATAATGTGCTGAGAGTGAGAGACTTTGGAACACTGGGTCCTAAATGGCTTATCATTGTCAATCCCCTCTCCTCGGGGTTTAGGGAACCATGTGGAAGAGGAGACAGAAAGATGTTAAGAGCCAGGGGAGATGGATTAGGAAACTGGCTTTTAGACCCAACAGGACAGATGCACTTGTGAACTGACAAAGACTGGCAGCATGTGCAGGGCCTGCATGGTCCAAGCCAGATGCCATCCTAGTACTGAGAGAGGGAAGGGTAGACAGAAGCCCCCATCCCTAGCCAAGACGCTATCTCCAACTGATAACCACTTGCAGAAGAAAAATTAGTTTTCTCTAGTGGAGCTTCATTAGGTGTATAAGCCACACTTGAAGGCAGGCCCATGCCCAGCAGTAGATGGCCAACGTAAAACAAATTCAGTAGTTTTATTAGAGTTCTCTAGAGTAGCAGAACTTACAGAATTAATTCCCGGCTCCGTGTGTGTGTGTGTGTGTGTGTGTGTGTGTGTGTGTGTGTTCTGTGTTTCTTGTGCCTTTTTAAAATTCTGGTTTGTTTGTTTTTATATGCCTTGTTAAAATTTTTAAATACACAGAGAAAGAAAGCATGGAGTAGATGGTGGGAAGGTGGGAAGTTTCTGTGAGGAGATAAGGGAGGGAAGATAAGGGAGTATATTTTATGAATAACAAATTTTCAATAAAGAAAATGACAATGCCTTAATGTTTTCTAGAAAAAAATACAAATAAATTTAAAAGTGCATCACAGGGTCATAAAGTTTAAGGCCATGGCTCAGACTGGCTGAGTGCCCTCACTTGAGTCTTAGGACCTTTGTTCATGACCAGGACACTTCAAACTCCAATGGTCCTCTGGTTGAGCTGCCTTTTCTGCTGTGGGCCAGGCTTGGAACAATGCCGGACTTGTGGGGACTTTAGGGTGGCCATCCCTGAACATTGTAGCATTCTCCATTGGAGTGACAGGAGGAGGGGTAGACAGGCTGGCAGTGTTCCACAAGTGTTCCTAAGGAATTTTGATCAGTGGAACACCTGTGAAGTAGTCCACCATGTTCAAGGTCTGAGCTAGCAGGTTAGTCACATTAAAAAAAAAAAAAAAAAAAAAGAACCAACAGAGCCTTGGAGGGGATCCACAATGCAGGTGCACATTATCTGGGTTCAGTGGAAAAAGACACTTGCAAGACCACAGTTCTTGCCAGCCTGGATTCAGAACTAGTTAAACCAGACCATTCATGATAAGTGAAATAACAGCACCATCACTAGAGCCTCCCTCTGGTCTCTGAGCCCGGCCGCTCCTGCTATTTCCCCTTCTGAGGCCAGTTAGCTGTGCACATAGACTGAAGCCTCAGCTCTGCTGTGTGGGTCCCCAGCCTCCCCAAAGCAAGTTCCACTAAAGATGCAGTGGCTGGTACAGCTGCCTGGGTGACCTCTGAAGCTTCTATAGTAAGCCCTAGGGGCTTCTGGCAAAAAGCACTCTCTTTGTCTTTCTCTGATCCTTCCCTCTCCCTCCTCCTTCCTCCCTTCCCTCTCACCCTCTCCCTTTTCCTCCCTCCTCTCTTCTCTTCTCTCCCTCCCCTCCCTCTCTGTTCCTCCCTGTCCCCCTCTCTTTTCCCCTCTACCTTCCTCAGTCTCTCTCTCCCTCCCCCTTCCTCCCTCTCTCTCCTCCTCTCTTCCCCCTTTCGCTCTTCCTCCCTCCATACCCTATTCTTTTCCCCTCTTCCATGCCTCACTCTTCTCAGCTCTGTCCTACCTTGCCCTCACCTATTCCATACTTCCCTCTCCCTGCTTTCCCCTGACTCACTTTTAATCCTGCATCCCCCTCCCCCTCACCACCCCCCTTTTGGAAAGAAGAGAGGAGGAAAGGAGAAGACACATGAAGTTTCCCAATCCCTTGAATCTGTTTCTCATAATTAACCAGAATTAGACTCCATGAATCCTTATTCTATTTTATCTACAAAACATGACATTTTTATGTGTGACTCTACTCTTGTGCCTTATGTTTTTAACCCAATGAGCACTAAGCACCTGTGGTGGTTTGAATAAGAATGGCCCCCCATAGGCTCATAGATCTGAATGTTTGGTCCCTAGGGCATTGCACTATTAGGAGGTGTGGCCTTGTTGCAGGAAGTGTGTCACTGGGGATAGACTTTGGGGTTTCAAATACTTAAGCCAGGCCCAGAGCCTCTCTCTGCCTGCTGCCTGCAGATCTGGATGCAGAACTCTCAGCTAGCCTCCAGCACCATGGTCTGCGTGTGGCCATGCTCCCTGCCAAGATGATAATGGACTAACCCTCTGAGCTGCAAGCCAGCCCAGTTAAATGCTTTCTTTCTAAGAGTTGCTGTGGTCATGGTGTCTCTTCGCAGCAGCAGAACAGTGAATGAGACAACATCTTATCAGGAGAGTTGCACTTTTTCTCCTATTTATTTCATCAAGGTCATACATGAAGAAAGCACTCCAGTGACCCTGAGATTCTGACCTTACACACTAACAATGCAGCTAACAGTGAATGGCACGAAAGCAGGGACACAAAGAGGAGAAGATCGATCTGCCATCACTGTGACTTCTTAAGAGAGCCCCACAGATCTAATAAACATCATCAGGCCAGGAGCAAAGAGTAAGCCTAGGCTGTGTGAGGCACAGCATGAAGGATGGAGAGCTCACCTGGGCCCTCCAAAGCAGCAAGGAGGCATTGTCCTTGAAAGCCACGGCCTCTGCAGCTGTCATTTCTGCAACTCTGTTTCCTCAGCTTCTCCCTGTACCCACTTCATACCTGCTGCCTTGTGGCTGAATTCCTTCATCTCTGCATTTCAGCCTTTTGCTCGGGTCCTTCCTGGGACTTCTCTAAGTGTGAGGTTTTATGGGCTGTGCAGATACTTGGACTCATGTGTAATGCCCAGTACGGTGTCATGGGTGCAGCATGAAGTGTTCACCTGTCATCTGGCCGGGACTCTCAAAGCCATCTGCCATGGGTCTCATCTTATTTAGGAGTAGGCCTGCTCTTTTCCATCATTTTTCTTATGCCTGGGGGTGGTGACCTCTTGGGGGTCGAATGGCCCTTTCACATGGCATGCCTAAGATCATGGGGAGAACACAGATATTTACAGTACAATTCCTAATAGTAACAAAATTACAGTTATGAAGTAGAAACGAAAACAGTTTTATGGTTGGGAGTTACTGCAGCATGAGGAACTGTATTGAAGGGTCACAGCGTTAGGGGGGTCAAGGACAACTGTCTACACTATCTGTAGCAGCTGTCTGATGTTTTGTTCTCATTAACTCCTCATGCCATCACAGGCAGGTGGAATGCACGATTCGATGCCCCAATTTAGAGGGAAGGGCTCATGCTTATCCCTGTCACTAAATTGGTGCTTCACACATAGTTGACGCTTAGTAAATACTTGTTGAATAAATTCACATAGAGAGACTCTGAAGAACAGATGTGGAATTGAATTGGTCATTTCAAAATCCATTTATTAAAGCTTTAATACATTATTACAGGAAGTGCGGAAGCCAGCGATCTGAAGAAGGAGGGTGCTTGCCCACACATTTTCCAACTCTCTATCCAGATAATCATTTCCATTCTGAGTCCATTCTGAGTCCCGCAGGCCAGAGTGGGAGGGAGGATGTGCTAAGCGCTTAGATGCTGGGCCTCTGTATGCCTCGTTGAGCTGCTGAAGGAATACAAAACGCCTCTTCCATGCTGAGACAGTTGGCACACTGATCGCTGGAGCCAAGGATTTCTCCCCTAAAGGTTCTAATGATTCTGCGAGGCCAGAGAGATACCTGTGTGAAGCCCTTATTCAAAACTGGACCACGTAGACACCGTACAGGGTTGGCCAGATGCACCCTGAGGCAGCATGGAAGTTGCTGCTGGGCTATCTGATCTCACAGGTGACCACAGAGACACTGAACTTCTCGGGCTGCAGCAATGTGCAGGAAATGCCCCACCATAAGGAGTAGACAGGTCCCTGCTTCCTCCTCATGCTCTCATCAGATGCCTACTTTTTGACAGTTCTATGACAGTTATTCTCCATTCTGTCTATTTCGTGTGAGTAAATGGGTAGAAGGCATACAGCCCTCTCACGTAACCACCCTTCATTTTTTAGGAACTCCTTGGCGGAAAGAACAGACCAAGGACCTCCAGCAAGTACTAAAGGCAGTTGACAAAGACATCCCACTGGTGATGGTCAGTGGCAACCACGACTTAGGCAACGTCCCCACAGCCGAGACCGTGAAGGACTTCTGCCAGACGTGGGGAGATGACTACTTCAGCTTCTGGGTGGGAGGCGTCCTGTTCCTGGTGCTCAATTCCCAGTTCTTCTATGATGCCTCCAAGTGCCCTGCACTGAAGCAGGCCCAGGACCACTGGCTGGACCAACAGCTGAGCACAGCAGGGCAGCAGAGGTGCCGGCATGCCATTGTCTTCCAGCACATCCCGCTGTTCCTACAGAACATAGATGAAGATGATGACTACTTCAACCTCACCAAGGCCGTGCGGAAGGAGCTGGCAGACAAGTTCACCAGAGCAGGTAATGTCCGGGGTCTGGGTATGTCCACTGCTGTCTGTCACCTGGCAAAGTGAAGAGGGGACAGAGCTTTGGATAGGACTGGTTCTCCTTCCAGCTCATCACTCACGAGTGGCACAGCTGTAGATAGGCTGCCAAATCTTCCTGCCCTGGTTTCCGCAGGTATCATAGGGTGGCTATGAGTAGTAATCCTAGGAAATATTAGGATGGTCCCTGACCTGCCAAGCACCAGCCTGAAGTAAATGCCCACATCTGAGGATGGTTGTCTTGGAGGTCAGGGGTCCTAGCAGAAGAGCCTGAAATGTGGTCACGTTTACCCTGGGAGGTGTGAAGAGTTGAAGATAGCTTCCTTCATCTCTGTGGGAAGCATGAGCTGGCTCGAGGACAGATAGGCCTTAAGAAGCCAGCATCCTACCAACTGTCCTCATGTACATCGGCGCTGGGACTTTCATGGGTTCACCTGTACTGGAGTCCATTGTGGTTCCTTCCTGAATTAGGACAGGATCTCTCTGATGTAGATTTGCAACTTATTTGTATGATCTACAAGGGTGCAATCACAAAATGAAGATGCCCTGTTTGTAAGGATAAGTCTTAACTGCTGACATCATGACTTCTCCGTGCTAGCCCATGCCACCTTCCTCACTCCTTAGACTCCCCTCCCAGGAGCCTCTAAAGAAATGGAGCATCCTAGGTGACTCACCTAAGTAACCAATGGTTGTCAGGACTCCATCTGTGACAGCTGCATGTGTCCTGTCCCCAGTTCACCCTCTTAGACTGCTCCATAGCTTATTTGTATAAAACGTTGGTAATAAATTCTTTCATTTAGTTGTTACGGGAAGAAGCAGGGAAGGTGGTATCTCACCCAAGCGCCAACATTTATTAGATTTAAAACAACAAAAACAAAATTTAAAAAACCCACTACTCTTTTATTCATCCTTCAATGTTCAGTGTGTTTTCATTTACTTATGAAAGTCCAATAGGCCCTTCTGTGCTTCTGAGACATTTTACAAAAAAAGCTTGCATAATGAGAGACATTTTCCAACTGTTCCATGGAGATGAGGTTGGAAAACTTCTACTAAAGGCCTTTGAAATTTTATGCCATGCTTGAGCTAGTGTGGAAAATGTTTTCGATGCCAAGGAAGCATAGTGTCGGGATGGCATCCACTCCACCATGGAGACTGTTTCGCAACAATGAATCAAGCCAGTGGAATATTCTGTGCCACCAAAACTGGTCCTTTCACAACAAATGATAAGTAATGCAAACGCAGTCTCCTTCCTGCTCTCCGGTCTTCATTTTGTCAACATTCTCAAGTGGCATGTGGGTCTGGGCTGCCCATCCCAGGAAAGAGCGCATGCTATGTCTGAGACTGCCCTGATGCGGAGGACCCACAGAGTTAACAGGGCACCCTTGTAGAAAATGTGGAAACCGGCCACCCGGAGCACCTGGGGTCTTGCATGTGGGATACAACAGCTCTAATGGGCTCTAGAACCAGGTTTCTGTCAGCACATCCACCCAGGGATGTGTATCCCCATGGCCCCATCTTGCAAAGGCTGATTTCTACAGCCATGAGGCTGGTTGGTGCCTTTGAACAGGACAAGCCCTGGCCATGCGGCCTTTCCCATAGGCAGAGCTGAATGCAAAACCAAATTACAATTTGAAAGTTGCTTTGTAAGCATGAGGCAGAGCAAGAGTTCACCTTCCTTCTCTGTTCTTGGTGGGTACCAGACCCCGGCATCCTGGGGGCTCTGAGTCCAAGACTGCAGCAAGACAGTGTTCATTCATGGGCCCTTTTCCCTGCCCCCTTCATATTGAAGCAGCTACATAGCCAGGCCCTCTCCTACCCCAGCACAAGGTCTGGCTCCTCAGCTTGCCCCTCCCAGAGTCCTTGTCTTTTGCCCTGGCTGCCTCCATTTCGCATGGCAAAACCCACTCCGTGTTCACCTTTTAGGTATAAAGCTCCTTTCCCACAAGTTCTTTGTTGGTGTTTCCTTGATTCCAGAGCTTGTAAAGTGGGTTTGTAAGTGTTGACATGTCTGAGCCTCTCACTAGACTGTTGGCTCCTTAGAGGTAGAGACGGTGTCCATGTGTCTCTGCCTTCAGGAGGTCTGGCTCAGGTGTCCTCTCACAGTGAGGTTGTCAGTGGCATGGACAGAGTGCGGGAAGTGAAGTCTTCAACTCATGCGGAGCCCCCAGTGGCCGGCCACAAAGCACATGGGTGTCCAGCACGTACCCTAGGACAAGCACATGCACAAAAGACCCCAGCTCAGGTTGTCCACCCACACCATGTGCCCTCCTCATCACAGGCAAACTCTCTGCCCTCATTCACTCACCTGTCTTCGGGGTCACTCGGCAGTCTGTTCTCCCGAATTCCTGCTTTGCCCCACAGCACCTTCTGGTATAAGGAGGTACCTCTTCTCGGCCACTAGTCTTAGGATCTTAACCTAAACAAGCCTACTTCACCAGGAAAGACGAGAGAGATGGGAGCCCTCCCCACTCACCAGCGGGATTCCTCGGCATGCCAAGCCAGGCTCTGCCAGACAGAGAACAAACACAGGCAACATCTGAAGTTGTAGTTTCCTGTATGGACAAAAGTGCCATGGCTGCTGGGTTGGGAGGGAGGCTTGGGTAATAGATTGTGGCAGGGGCGACAGGGGCTTGGGGACCGCTCCTGACTGTAGACAGTGGCTGAAGCTACAGCAATAGAACTTGAGCTCATTTTGAAAAGCCAAAAGTTCAGTGATATTTGGTAAGATTCCTTAACTTAAAGACCTTGATAAAGCCAGGGTGATGGTGGCAGGTAGTATTTAATGTTGCCTCTAGCTTTCATCCCCCATGGCAATATTATTTCCTAATACTATTTCAGTCTCATTTTTCTCCTTGTGCTAAAATGCCAGTGCTCAAAAATATGTCAGAAGCTCATCAGATGATCAGGGTAGCTTTTAATTACGATAATTGTGTTGTTATAAAATATCCTTTTAAGGAACACATCCCTCCCCAAGCCACTGTGGAGATAAAACCCTGCTTCCTTCCAGCAAGTTTAATGAATAATTCTGAATCATTGTGTGGGATGAATAAATGATTTAATAATGAGCATCAACAATCATCTCCCATTGTTGCATTAATTTTTGTAAATGGGATGAGGTAAATGAGGAGGAAGGGCTGTCACCATACAATAGACCACCATTTGTGTAGGATTGTGCTCCGTGGTCCCAAAACCAAGAGCTTCCAACCTCAGGTTTCCCTAGAAACAGATGCTTCCTATTTCTACTTTTGAAATCAATAAGGGGGGAGCTTCTTTGTGTGGTACAAAAATGCTGTCAATAACTGGTAGAAATAAACAGGTACCAGGGCAGGACAGATGCACAAACGAGAAGCAGCACCGGTTATTTCCAGGCTTCTTTTGCTCTGCCTGGGGATAATCAATTTCATCACATCCAAGGGATGTAGAAATTGCTTTTCCTCTTAATTCACCTGCTACCTCATTGGAGTTGCAAAGACAGATCTTAGATAATGAAATCTGGGCTGAAGCTGGACATCATCGTCTCGTTCCTCAGACTTCTCTCCACAGAAGGTTAATATGTGACCCAATTAATTCAGATGCAGTTTAAAGATTCAGTCTTCAAACAAACAAACAAAAACAGAAGTCTGGCTCTTTAGCTGTCCATGTTTCCCTTTAAATGTCTCCATAGCTTTTCTTTCCCCTTGTTCTCAGTACAGAGCTTAAGGACTGTGTAATAAAGAGCCTGGAGCACATTTGGCAATTACGACAAATTTCAGCAAGTTGATCTTTCAGGCAAAAGTTAATGGGTAATTTCACAGGCTAGTTTCATCTCTAGCATTTGTGTGCTTTTTAACAAAGAAACAGAAAGAAAAGGTGAGCCCTTAGCCTTTGGTTTCGGTTTTAGGATTTCGGAGTTTTTAAAGAACGAAGAGGTCAGATTTCCAGGGCCGCACTATAGGAAGTGAGAGAATGTCAGGCCTCCTCTGTCTCACCGTTGTACTGAAGCTGTTGATATCCTGAGGCCACCAGGAAGTAAGGTCCCTGCTGTGTTCACAGGTGGAAATCCAGCCCTGAGCCTGTCACACAGTAGTTGCCCCTTGATCAATGATGGCATATTGGTTAACAGGAACAGAGCCTAGCTTGACTCATTTCATCCTAGCAGCTGCATCACTGGTGATGCCCACAGCACCTGTAATGGTCAGCTGAGTTCTGGATGGGAAACACACTGCCAAGAGCCCTGCTGCTTACACAGGGTCATGCCCGCATACTGATGGGGTCGTGCAGCTCAATGCAGGGTTGGGCAAACAGGAAAACATTTCTGAACTCAAACTAATCAAAATTTAACTCAAAATCAAGCCCATCACAACTCAAAATGTTTCTTGCAGCATTGGTGTTGTGCTGCATTGGAGCACACAGCATCGTTGCAGCCTTGGTTCTGAACACTTAGGCCAGGCAGTGGTGGAGCATGTGTGTAATCTACAGAGTGAGTTCCAGGACATCCAGGGCTATGCAGAGAAGACCTGTCTCAACAAACCAAAGACAAGCAAGAGTAGCTGACCACTTGATGTGCAAGCACTACACATACGATCACATCACACAACAACCGCAAATGCTGTTACCAGAAGTATCTTTGCTCAGATTCCAGATTGTTTTTTGTAATGAAATGCAGGGTTTTTAAATGTACACACAAAGTGTTCTGCTTTTGTAGAAGCATAATAGCTTAATTGCAGAAAACAAAGATGATTGTTTCCTACAGTCATTCCTTAGCATGTAAGAACCAAATTAGTGTCTTTGGATGGTGTTATGTAAGCATGTTTTATTTTAAAAGCTGTTGTTTGAGTTTCCTTTAAAATATGTTAATGGTTTGGTTTGGGGTTGTTATTAGAACAGAATTTACAACAGTTTCTAAAATGTCCATAAATGTGTGCATCTGCCTTTTCATACCACATATTTCTGTGAGTTGACATTTCCAGCATTGTAGCTACAAAATCAAGATATCCA